GCCTCAAGACTGCAGTAAAGGGGTTGGCCAGAGCTGCCATCAGGGCCTCTGATTCCTCTTCCACACTCCCTGGTTACTGGCAATTCAGCTCCTGTGGTTGTAGTCATCATGGTGATAGGCTATAGGGACATCAAATGATGCAACATTGGGGGAAAAGGGTCATTGGCAACTAGTAAGTCAGTGTGGACCTTAGCAAGAGTAGCTTCAGAAGAGATAGGACAGAGAATAGAAGAAAATGAATGGGTCGAAGAATGTGCCAGCTGTTGAACGGACTCAGGATTCCAAAGGCTCCTTCAAACTGGAGGCTTCCACAGAGATGACCCCAGGATTGAGCTTCTTCAACCCTGTCTGTGCCACTCCCAACAGCCAGATCCTGAAAGAGATGTGTGATGTGGAGCAGGTGCTGTTAAAGACTGCTGCAGCTCCCGCCTCCTTTAACCTCCCCAAATAGAAACATGTAGGAACAGAATCCCAAGAACATAAGGCTCCAGGGAGGAAAAAGAAACAGCTCTGGCCAGCAATACCAGCGTCCTCACTGGCTGCTCCTCTACGGAAGAAGAGGCCTGCTGAAGTTGGAGTCATCATCTCTAACCCCAGTCTGGCTTGGGAGATGCTTTGACGTTGCAGCCAGAAGCGTTCTTTTTTTACCTTTTTGTCTTTTTTCGTGACCAGCGACGGATCGCAACCCTCAGTGTCACGCCCGTACCGGACCGGGACCGGCAACGGGATCGCAACCCTTAGTGTTGCTCCCGCTCCTCGCTCAGCCAGTGAGCGGCCGGTCTGTATGTGGGATCCGAACCCTCGGCGGGAGCGCCGCCGCACTGCCGCACTCCCAAGCGGTGCACTGTAGCAGTGAGCCAATGGGCCGGCCCCCAGAAGCGTTCTTTAATGATTTCTCTGGATTTCAAGTTTCTTGCTGTTGGAAAAAGGGACAAAGTATTGGCGAATGGAAGGGAACCTTTGTTAGATATTGGCCCTCAGTCTCCAGCCCGAGACTACTACTCCCTCTTCTCCAGAAGGGTGCTAAGCCCATTACTGAAGAGAGAACCAACTGATCTTCCTAATGACTCATCAGGAACCAGCCCCCAGTACTATCTAGCCCTTTCTTATTTTTAGCAGTTAGGGCTGTCTCCTAATGAGGATGAGGCTGAGGCTTTTTGTCTCAGCTTAATGGAGGAGCCTGGCCCAGCATAGAGGCCTGGCTCAGATCCTTCACCCCTCATCAGGAATGGCGTTGGGATCTGCGCTGTCCTTACCCTCTCTAGATTTTAAGTGTTTTAATAGTACCATCAATTGTCTTCCATGTTGCTGGAGTAAATGAATTATTTTTAAGTGTTAAGTAAATAAATAAACATTAGCCCATCTAAAAAAAAAAGAGGGAAGGAACATGTCAGTTACTGATTTATTCACCCTTTTACCTTCTCCATGAAAATGATCTGAAGCTTTGTCAGCAGAGGGCGCTGGAGAGGCACTGCAAGAGGAGGGTTTGTTTCCTAGTTCTGGTGGGCTGGCTCGGCAGGCTCCTGCAGCACCCAAGGGCTGCTCGTCATCCAGCTATTGCAGGATGGTGCTTCTCCAGGACACTGCTGCTCCTGAGTGGATAGTATCCAGCAGCTTCCCTGAGCGCCTGCCTCCCATCCCACCTGCTGGAGCAGTTTTATAGAGTGCCTTTGGTGTCTGCTGAGACACCTCCCTGTGAATAGCTTTCCCCCAGCACCCTAGAGCTGGGGTCAGCAAATTTTCCTGTAAAAAGGCCAGAGTAAATATCTTGGGCTTTGAGTCATTGGGTCCATACAGCTACTCAGCTCTGCCATTGAAGAGCAAAACAGCCACACACAATATGTAAATGAATGAATATACCTGTGCTCCAATAAAACTTTAATTATGGACAAATGAAATAATCTTTTGATTTTCTTTCAACCATTTAAAAATGTAAAAACCATCCTTGACTCCTGGGCTATATAAACACAGGGGACACGGCCAGTCTGAAGTCTGTAGTTTGATGACTTCTGCCCTAGATTTCCAGAAAGATCCACAATGCCGATTTTCAAAAAGCTCTGCCACTGTGGCCCCACAGCATCTCTATTAAGAATACCCTCCCACGAGGTCCAGATCTCAGCCCACCACTGAGGGGCTAAGAGGAATGGAGAGGGTCTGTTCCTTGGGTGCTGCCTCAGCTGTAGTAGTGGCTGCTCCATCTTTAAAGTTCTCATTGTATTTTACTATATCGATTTCTGCTGTTGTGTGACAAACTACCACAAATCTAACATCTTAATATAATAAACATTTATTATCTCAGTTTCCATGAGTCAGGAGCTAGGCATAGGTCAACTGGGTCATTTATTCAGGGTCTCAAGACTGCAGTAAAGGGGTTGGCCAGAGCTGCCATCAGGGCCTCTGATTCCTCTTCCACACTCCCTGGCAATTCAGCTCCTGTGGTTGTGGAAATAAGGCCCTCAGTTCCTAGGGTCCACCTGCTGTTCCCTGACACATGACCCTCTCCACAACAGGGCAGTTTGCTCCAAGACTAACAGAAGAGCTACCTCTATTTCTGCTGCTTCTCTTGCTTTTGGACACTTTAATATCCCTTTTAATTCAAAACCAACTGATTAGGGATCTTAATTACATCTGCAAAATCCCTTCACCTTTGTCATATAATGTAACAATCTTGGGAGTGACAGCCCATTGTGTTCACAAGTCCTGCCACACTCAGTAGAAGGGGATTATACTGTGCATGTACATCAGGGGTAGAAAATCTTTTGGGGACATCACAGAATTCTGCCTACCACATAAGGGATAAAAATCATAGGTAATTGTTTAAATCCAGTTTTCATAATTTCTTTAATGTGGTTCTTAGTGCCTTTAAAACTTCTTAACTATAAAAAGCAAAATATTTCAGGATACTTTTTTTTTTTTCCTTTTTGTCTTTTTTTGTGTCCGGCAACGGATCGCAACCCTCAGTGTCGCGCCCGTACTGGACTGGACCGGCAACGGGATCGCAACCCTCGGTGTTGCTCCCACACCTCGCTCAGCCAGTGAGCGGGAACCGGTCTGTATGTGGGATCCGAACCCTCGGCGGGAGCGCCGCCACACTCCCAAGCGGCGCACTGTAGCAGTGTGCCACAGGGCCGGCCCAAAATATTTCAGGATACTTTAACTTCATAGTAACTCTTCCAGGTAACTGAAAGTAAAATGCATTTGTACCATAATTCTTCATTATGTAAGACACTGGGAAAGTGGCATATTAAAGATACTATGAAATTTGATTCAATATGATTCAAACAAATTTAGGAAGTAGTTTTAAAATGTTTTATTTTATAGTTCATAAAAAAGTTTATATATACAGACTCAAAGTAAACAGAAAGGCAGCTTTCAATCACATATGAATGAGACAGTAGTCATTTAATCTCTACTGTGGAAGCACATTTAATGCACACTCTTCAATGCTATGCATAAATAATTTTAACTATGCAGTCCAAGTTCTTGGTTTTATACTAGATCTGCACATATAAGACACTTGTGCTAAAATTTTAAGATTGGTAAAGCCAATTTCAAGCAGCTTGTATTTTGAGTACAGTTCACTATTACAAATATATGATGTTAACTAACAAAGATCTTTCTCCCATGCTCATACATTTGTAATATGAGTCCATTTGCTAATTTCCCTTCTTGTAGTGAATCTTCAAATTACAGCAGTTATGCATTGAGTTCCCTACGCATCTCACCCATCTCCTTTATCTGAAACAGATGGAAAAAGTAAAGAAAATTGAAAATCATTTTCCAATCTTGTTTATTCTGAAAATAGTTTTAAAAAATTAGAGAGGAAAACAAGATGATTTCCTTATACACTTATAAGACTTATATAAATAAAAAAGAGAAAGCTATATTACAAGGAAACACATATTGAGTGCAGGATCCAAGCTACTATTTAGAGACAAGATGGCCAAAGAGAGTGGGGAAAGCAGCAGATAAGCTAGATCTTTAAGAATAGATAAGATTTTTACTAAATGTATACTGTTTTTACAGCTAGGAAGAATCATTTTCTATTATCCATCTTTCATTTTATAGGTGGAGAAACTGAAGTTCAGAATTAAGTGACCTGTCCCAGATCATACAATAAGTTACAGGCAGAACTGAGACAACAATGACACTACTACTACTGCTGGCAAACATTTTGCTATGTGGCAAGCATGGGACCAATACTTTACAGATTACTTTTAATCCTTAAAATAGGTCAGTACTATTATCCCCATTTTACAGATGAGAAAACATGCAGGCGTAAAGAAGTTATGTAATAAGTGGTCAAACCCAGGTGTGTGTTGCTCTTAACTACACACTACATCATCAGTCTGCCTGTCTGTTAAAATTCAGTTCAGGGATAGTTCTCTAGACCTGTGGTCACCAATCCAGATAAGCCAGGTGATCTACTATGGAATGGAAAGAAAATGTTAGAACTTTCCAGTTCTATTAGATTTTTTTCAATATTTTTTTACACTTCTAATTTTATTTGCTAAAATATTAGCAAGTGGCATATATAAAATTACAAGTACATACATAGGTATACAAAAATTGGTGAGTATACAGAAAATATTATTGATAGGATTCAAGGACAAGTGTGTTCATATCCAATTCCAAATGACTGAAATAGGCTAACAATCTGAAAATTTCACACTGGTATAGGTAACCAGATAGTATGCAACAGATTTACTATGACAAATTAAGTTCATTTTAAATGATTATTATTCCACTGGCATGTAGACAATAAATCAGGTCATCAGTAACATTTTCTCTAATGTGAATCCACTAGAGTATGCCTCTAAAAGATTCCACTAAACGTTGATACTTTATAAAATAAAAATGATAGGCTTCCCATTCCACTCTTCTATGGAGCGGAATTCAATATAAGGTGGTCTGCCGTGGAACTCATGCAAGAATATTTAGGTGAGAGTGCATTCTAATACTGTCTCTAAGACCCTAAGCACTATACTACAAAGGGACTCTGGGGCAATGGAAATCTGTCAATGTCTAGGAAGGTACAATGATTACTAGGAGTAAGAGATGAAACAGGGCCTTTTTATTAGGTAAGTAATCCATTTACCTCAGCTTTCTCATACTTTGCCATTCTCTTTTTTCTGGAAATAACCTGAATGGATGAAAAATAATTATTATTTCAGGATTGCTCCTCAAACAAAAAGTTGGTATACATTGACATATATGTTTTTAATGGACATAATTCCGATCTGAACAAATATAATTTTAAACTCTATCCATAAACATTGTTTCTTAAGTTAAAATTTCACTGCTAAACTAAAAAAAGGCTAGCATAGCAATGAAACAAAAAAACACTAAGAAAACAAATAATCTTTAATGAAATTTAACAGTTTGGTGTGCATTCTTCAACATCTTTTTCCATATATATGCATACAAGTTTGAGGGTCTAAAAATAAAATGTGATTTAAAAAAAAGATCAAAAACAAAATAAAACAAATAGTAAAAATCCCCCTATCGGCTAGCCATCAGAAAAAATGAATAAAAAATAAAAATGGGATCATGCAATATCATTTCTATTTTTGCACAGCCTGTATCACCACCACAGGAACCCTTCCAGATCAAAAGATATAGATTGAACTCATTCACATTATTCCATAGCATGGATATACCACAATTTACTCATCCACTCTCCTATTAATTTAACTCAGATTCTTTTCCAGATTCACCCTTACGAATGACATTGCTACACCTAACAATGAATGTGCTTTCTTATTGCATTTGTGCTTTCTTTTCTACATGATAAAATTTCTATGATTAATCTTTTTTTTTCCTTTTTGTCTTTTTTTCGTGACCGGCAACGGGATCGCAACCCTTGGTGTCGCGTCCGCACCGCACTCAACCAGTGAGCCAACCAGTCTCTATATGGGATCTGAACCCTCGGCGGGAGCACCGCCCTCTATCAAGTGCGCCACCGGGCCAGCCCCTATGATTAATCTTTCATGTGTTTATTTGCCATCTGAAATTCCTCTTCTATAAACTGTCTATCTATACTTGTTGCCATTCTTTTTTTTTTTTTTTTTTTGGTGGCTGGCTGCCATTCTTTCTTTAGGTTTCCTCATCAATTTGTAAGAATTCTGTTTATTGTGCATAATATCCATTTGTTTTATGCATCATGAATATTCTTTCCCAGCCTATCATTGATATTTTTTACTGTACAGTATCTTTGACATACAAATATTTAATTTTTTTTTTCCTTTTTTGTCTTTTTTTCGTGACTGGTAACGGGACCGCAACCCTCAGTGTTGCACCCACACTGTGACCAGCAACGGGATCGCAACCTTCGGTGTTGCACCCGCACCGTGCTCAACCAGTGAGCTGACCAGTCTCCATATGGGATCCGACCCCCCAGCGGGAGCGCCGCCGCACTCCCAAGCACCGCACTCTACCGAGTGTGCCACCAGGCCGGCCCACAAATATTTAATTTTAATGAACTCATATATGTATAAATCTTTTCCTTCATATGGACTCTAGATTTCTTACACAAGGTCACACAAACATTTCCTAAATTAATTTTCTTGAGACTTGCTTTATTTCTTTGTATTTTAAACTATAATCCATCTGGAATTTGTGTTTGAACATAGGTACACTGCCCAACTCCTTCACATTGCTNCCTTTTTGTCTTTTTTTCGTGACCGGCAACGGGATCGCAACCCTTGGTGTCGCGTCCGCACCGCACTCAACCAGTGAGCCAACCAGTCTCTATATGGGATCTGAACCCTCGGCGGGAGCACCGCCCTCTATCAAGTGCGCCACCGGGCCAGCCCCTATGATTAATCTTTCATGTGTTTATTTGCCATCTGAAATTCCTCTTCTATAAACTGTCTATCTATACTTGTTGCCATTCTTTTTTTTTTTTTTTTTTTGGTGGCTGGCTGCCATTCTTTCTTTAGGTTTCCTCATCAATTTGTAAGAATTCTGTTTATTGTGCATAATATCCATTTGTTTTATGCATCATGAATATTCTTTCCCAGCCTATCATTGATATTTTTTACTGTACAGTATCTTTGACATACAAATATTTAATTTTTTTTTTCCTTTTTTGTCTTTTTTCGTGACTGGTAACGGGACCGCAACCCTCAGTGTTGCACCCATTACTGTACAGTATCTTTGACATACAAATATTTAATTTTTTTTTTCCTTTTTTGTCTTTTTTTCGTGACTGGTAACGGGACCGCAACCCTCAGTGTTGCACCCGCACTGTGACCAGCAACGGGATCGCAACCTTCGGTGTTGCACCCGCACTGTGACCAGCAACGGGATCGCAACCTTCGGTGTTGCACCCGCACCGTGCTCAACCAGTGAGCTGACCAGTCTCCATATGGGATCCGAACCCCCAGCGGGAGCGCCGCCGCACTCCCAAGCACCGCACTCTACCGAGTGTGCCACCAGGCCGGCCCACAAATATTTAATTTTAATGAACTCATATATGTATAAATCTTTTCCTTCATATGGACTCTAGATTTCTTACACAAGGTCACACAAACATTTCCTAAATTAATTTTCTTGAGACTTGCTTTATTTCTTTGTATTTTAAACTATAATCCATCTGGAATTTGTGTTTGAACATAGGTACACTGCCCAACTCCTTCACATTGCTGTGCTCTGGACATGCCATTCACACAGTCGGGCAATACAGCCAGCCCTTGTGGGGTGAAATATGAATTCAACTTTTGTTTTCTTCCAAATGGATACCAAGCATGGTAATTCCATTGAACTGAAAATGTAAGTTCCCAAATACTCTCAAATCTATTTCTGAATTCTGTTGTGGTGATTAGATTTCCTGAAGCATCCTTACATTCCTAGAATAAACCCCACTTCTAGGTGATATTCTTCTTCTGAAGCACTGCTAAACTCAGTTTGCTAATCTTTATTTAGAATTTGCTTCACACTTAACATTAACTCTTTCCTATGCTATTCTAAATCTTGTGTTCTGTTGTTCCAGCTCACTGAATGGTTTTGGAGGTTCGGGTATTTTTGTACTACGCCTGGCAATGGTGTTGAATTATATGCAGTGAGAAGAACCAAAAGACATTTGCTGCTGGATGGCAATGTAACTGGACTTTGAGGTGTTTGGCTGCAAGCTTTTTTCAGATTAGTATCTCTCCTTGCTTCATAAAGTGACTGTTTTGTAAAAAGGAACCAGAAATGCAATAAATGTGTTCACTAGAGAGAATTACAAAAAATAAAGATTTTTGTTTCATTAATATGTTTTGGAACATGGATGCAGCCTTTTCATATTATTGTCTTTTCTTGAAAGAATATACCCTTAAATGAAATTTTACTTGTTCTGTACTTACCAGCACAATAATTCCAGCAATAATTGCTATTGTCACAACCACAATAATAGCAATAACACCAGCTTTTAGACCCTGCATTGAAAATTCAGGTGCTTTTTCATCAACATAGTATATTAAAGTTTGGCCAGGATCCAGATCCAGTTGTTCCCCATTTACTCTCAAGTCCATTCTTTTAGAAGAATGGAACAAGGATTCACCTTTAACCTATATTGAAAAGGAGAAAAGCAATTAAAATTATTTAAGAAAACCAACCATGGCCACATAATAATTACACATTGATCATATGCCAAAAGAAATGCCACCAAGAATCTTTATAGTTTCAGTGATAACAATCTGATCCATTGAACCCTTTTAAAAACTATTACAGGAAATTTTCATGCACAAAAGTAGAAAGAGCAGTGTAATTAAGCCCATGTACTTATCACTCAGATTCAACAATACCAACACATGCCCATTCTTATTTCATCTACTCTTCCTTCCCACCCCAACCCAGATTATTCTGAAGCAAATCTTAGACTTCATCAGAAAATAATATATCATCACTATATTATACTCATCACTATCATATATTAAAGTTAAAATAAAATAATCACATCAGTTTTACAGGATTTTTAAAATATAAATTCTTGTTCATGTAAATTATAAATATAATAGGGAGAGAATATACACACGAAGTTAGGGAGATAATAAATGAGAATTATAAGAGAGAAGACATTCTAAGCAGAACAATTTGATAAAGGCACAAACATACAAGCAAGTAAGAAAGTTATATATGAGTGGCAGGGAGGACACAATTGCAGAAGAACCACTTGGAGATAAGGTTCATCTGTAAGTGACAAAAAAGGTGGTGAAAGATCTTGAATCCTTGAAGAATGACAGACAACCTTACATTTCTGAACACAGGAATAAAATAAGAAAGATTAAACTCACATCTTTTTCAAAATAATAAGCCACATCAGCTATGTCCACATCATTCTGAGTTTTCTGAGAAGAATTTTGCACCAACTCAATAGTGATAACATTATCCTCATACTGGGGGAGATATTGAAAAATACGAATATTAATATAATGAAAATATCATTGTTCAATAATCAGAATATTCAATGTTTGATTTTCTGTAATCTACATGCATCACTATCCCTTTCCATTAGTGGATAATTAACTTTCTCACTAATAATTGAAAAATCTTTGGGGAGGCCTTTAAATCTATTCAAGGGAAATAAGACAGCCATGCAACCAAACATAATTGTAATGCATATTTTTTTAATCCAAGAGAATTTCCTTGTCTTGAAAAAATTTTAAAACAAGATATCACAGTACCTTATTTGGATGAGAACTACTTGAAAACCAAAATACTAAAGAAATGCAATCCAAAATGTGGTATGCATCACATATCCCACACAGGTACTGATATTTAACTCTGTACCCCACAGATACATACGATCAACTATGTTACCATAAAAAATAACCAATTAATTAAAAATAAATTTTAAAAAAATGTAGTATGCATTAACCATGTTCAGTTTTGAGAGCAAAACAGTATATTCCTTCCACAGATACATACGATCAACTATGTTACCATAAAAAATAACCAATTAATTAAAAATAAATTTAAAAAAAATGTAGTATGCATTAACCATGTTCAGTTTTTAGAGAGCAAAACAGTATATTCCTTCAAGAGTCTTGTAAAAAATGACATCAATTTTAATCAAGAAGAATAAGAATAAATTTATACTGCCTTTAAAGAGTTCCATCACAGTATTCAAGCTTTGTGTTTTTTAAACCAGAGTTGAAAGAATTAAGGAAGGGCTTTACTGGGTAAAGACTAGGTCCTTAAACCTGAGAAGATGGGAGGTAGAGTAGCATGCTAAAGTAAGACATGCTAAAAGCAATCACAGAGGTTCTCCAGGGTAAGAAAGACATGTTTTACGGATACTAACAGATACTCTGTTTCCTTTAAGGGTAATACTGGGTTTTTCAAAGGCTTTATGTGAGAAAAACAACAACAGGGAATTTGCATAAAGTGCCAGGACTTAAACTGTTATTCAAAAGCATTTAACCACTACTAAAATCACTGGATGTCCTTTACACCCAAACCATACGGTCCCCAAATTTCTGCTTAAGCTCATTTACTAAAAAATCATACCGTAATACTTGAGATAAATTTTGGATCCAGTTGATAACGAGTTGTGATCGCCTTCTGAAGAGCACTGTGAATAATTAAAAATCTGTGTTTAAAAAAAAGTTTGTACCGTATAACTTTTAAAGCTAAGAAGCTTTTAAAGGTAAGAAGCACTACCTTTTTTTCTCTCTCTTTTTTGTGGCTGGCCAGTATGGGGATCCGAACCCTTGATCTTGGTGTTATCAACACCACGCTCTAAACAACTGAGTTAACTGGCCAACCCAGAAGCACTACTTTAAAACCAAGCAGATAGTTCAAGGTCTAGGATTGTCATTACCTAAAGTTGTTAGAAAATAATAATTGATTCAGGTTAGAATCATCCACTGATGCTAAAACTGTAGAATGCCATTTTGATTAGAAACAGAACATTTACATAGTATCCAAGTACACGCCCACAGATTATTTATTAAAAGGGAAAAATGGTAACTTTACAGTTGAGAAACCTGATGGACACCACTTTAACCAAAGTTAATATTACTAGTAAAGGGACAAGCTCACTATCATGAGCCTTCTGATGTAAAGTACTACAAAAGATGCAAGACTAAGTAGTTTTCCTGTCAAAAATGCATAACCTATTTTTAGTAAAGAGGAAAAGCCAGACAAATCCAAATTTGAAGTAGGACAAATCCAAATCTGAAGGACATGATATAAAATAATTTGCTCATGCTCTTCAAAAATATCAGTGTCATGAAAGATAAAGACCAAGAAACTGCTCCATATTAAGAGACTAAAGAGTCATGATAACTAAATGTGGTACACAATCTCGGATTGGGTCCTAGAATAGAGGGCAAAAATTGCTACAAAGGACAATAATGGGAAAACTGGCAGCATGTTAAATTTCCTGAATTTGATCATTATACAGTTGTTATATAAGAGAATGCCTTTTGTTCTTAAGAAAAGATACACTAAAGTTTTTAAGGGTAAAGGGACATGACGTCCATAACTTCTTTTTTAAGTGGTTCTGGGAAAAATATTTATACATACATGGATATATAGATATAAAGTACATACACATATGCATACACACACATATAAAAAGAAAATGCAAATGTGTCAGTATATTAATTGGTGAATCTGAGTGAAGGGTACTACAAGAATCTTTGTACTATTCTTGCAACTATTTCAAATAACTTCACTTTTCAGAATATGAAAAAGCACTTAATTAAGACTTAGTGTTTCTCATGGGATACAAGATTTGAGCACCAATTGTGCATGGATAATACGATGTTGTTAATTGCACTTACGTCTGCAAACTTTGAGAATCATAAGGTGTTTCTCTTGCTTTGTGTTTTAGTTCAATGATGATCCAGCTGTAAGGTAAAAAGACAATGTCAATTGACTATAACAACTCTACTATAAACTACACTGTTTTCCTAATGAGCTAACACTAAAATTCCCTACTGGAATCGCAGAAGAGCTATCAGAAAAAGAATTTATGCAGTAGAGGGCTGGCCAGTTCACTCAGTTGGTTACAATGCAGTGTTACATTTTTTGGTAAGCTGCCCCCCCAAAAAAAGAATTTATACAGTAGAAATGCCCATAATTTCTTCCATGGCCATCACACATCTTTCATAAAGAACCTGCCCAGGAGTAAACATTTTCTAATATTGACCTTCTGTCCTCCAGCCACAATACATAAGGACACATAAAGTCAAGGCGGGGCTGGCTATATTGGGCCCTGTTCAAGTAAAAAGACAAAAAGGCACTAAGAGAAATAGAAAATTGACGATGAGGCTCCAGGCTCCAAAAGACACAACAGTAAAGAGTGCTGGCTTTGGTCCTGATACCCTTCTAGTTTGTAGTCATCCCTTTCAGTAAAGTCTTTTTTGCTTAACCTAGCGTTGATTGTGTTTCTGTTCCTTTTTATTAAATAATCCCTAAGACAACCATATCTTACTTTTTAAACACAATAAATGAGCAAATATATAAATATAATTCGTATACATTTAATACTAATCCAACTTTAAAATGCTGAACAGTATTAAGTATAAACATAAAAGGAAAATTACATCTAGTATGCTACCACTGTCAAATATATAAATATAATTCGTATACATTTAATACTAATCCAACTTTAAAATGCTGAACAGTGTTAAGTATAAACATAAAAGGAAAATTACATCTAGTATGCTACCACTGGGCAAAAAAAAAGAATACATATATGTTGTAAATTCATAAACTATCTGTGGAAGATTATGGAATAAACTGATGACATCAGCTCTGTGGAGGTACACTGGGTAGCTGGGGGGCTGGGATGGAATGGAGACTTCTTGCTGTACACACTTTCCTACTTTTTGAGTTCTAAACCATGAAATCATATTACCTATTCAAAAGTAAGTTTAATCAAACGAATCCGAAAAGCCTGAAAACAAGTAATATAGGAAGCCCCACTCACTAGGTCCTCACTCGTTCGGAGCAGGTTATTTCACTGTCCTTGTCGGTTCTTCTGACCCCAGCAGTATTCACACACCAGCACGTGGAGGTGCCATTGCACTGCTTGGCTTTAAAGAGCCCCTTCTCATCGCAGTCAGGGTCATAAAGCCCGTCATTGTTCTGGATTGCCCCTTCAGGTTTCATTCCTCTAACAGACTTGGAGCCAGTCATTTCTGCCTTCATCACCAAACATTTGCTGGCCACTGAAAAGAAAGCACTGAAAAATAACTGCAGTTTCATGCTTACAGGGGGAAAAAATGTTTAATTTAACTCCAAACTTCCAGGGCCAAAGATGATTTTAAATTTACACGTTCCCACACTTATTTTCTGAAGAGAAGCTTCAGATGGAGATAATTTCAAATTTCAACGAAGCAACATGATGCAGATTTAAGCTGATAAAACTTCCCAACTCAAGGCACATCAATTAAAATAGTATTAAGTGAAAGTAAAGTTTAAAGAAAATAAGGTTATTTCACTCACGTTTTGAGCAAATGATGGTATTTTGTGTACCAATTGAAGTACACTGGCATTGACCATTTTCATTGTAAGAGCAGTCTGTAGTCAGCTGGTAGTTTTCACAGAGACATTCTAGAAAATTTTTTAAAAATCCATTTTAAAATGCGGATCCAACTATCAACTCTGATGTCTCAGCTAAATTATGTTCTGACAATAATGCCTAAGTTACAGGGACACAAAGTGGTTCTGGATATTTCATTTTTCAGGTATAATTTGAGTTGCTTCCGAAGTGCTTGACACTTGCTAAATAGTTTGTATACATCATAAAGACACATCAACTAATCCACTTGCATTATCCTGTTTCAATTTTTTTTAAAAAATAAGAATACATCCTTCTAGAGGCTTTGTCTTTGTGCTATCTCCCAGTCTCAGCTCTTTCCAGCTTTGTCTTTGTGATACTCCCTGTCTCAGATCTTTCTCTCCTCTTGTCCTGCTAGATACACCCCTGCCTGACAGTCACTGACTGTTTTCCAAAAAAAACAAAATCAACAATTCCAATTCCAGGATCCATGAATCTCCACATTCCCTTCCTCTCTCTCTCTTAAATAAATAAGAAACTTCTGCGGCTTAAGAGGAACATAATCAACCTTTATATCATTTTACGTCTTGGAAAAATTATACTTCCAATTTGGAAGCATCCTTGTATATGGGTTTCCGGATTAAATCAAATCCATGTACCTGATTTTGAAAGTGATACTAAGCATCCCATCCTGGGTATTGATGTTAATCATTATATCCATGACTACCTCGAAAGTTCATTTTAACTTCAAATTGGCGAGCCCATCTGATTCCTTTTATTCATTTTTATTTTTTGTCTAGTTGAGTGCAGTCATTAAAAACAAAAATTAGCATGACAAACCAAAGAATTTTTATATTGCTCCCACATATCCCAAGTATGACGTTAATTTCTCTCCATTTTACAACTGATATGAACTACCTATAATCTGTCTAGCACTAAACTCAATATTGGGGTCACAAAGGGAGAATGCACAGTGGCTGTCCTCAAGGAGTTAAAATCTTTTGTGGCACTACATTGTACTTGTATTTTTTATTACCAAGTAATGTGAAATTTAAAACAGACCAGGGTCTGGCAAGTTAGCTCAACTGGTTAGACGCTGTGTTACAACACCAAGGTCAAGGGTTCGGATCCCCCTACCGGCCAGCAGTCAAAACATAAAAATAAACAGGCCAGCGGTCAAAACATAAAAATAAAACAGACCAGTCAGGTACCTATACCATCTATCACCATTTTAAAGCAATTCAAGATTAAGTATTTAGTCCCAGATTGAAACTAGAAAAAACACGAGNGTCAAAACATAAAAATAAACAGGCCAGCGGTCAAAACATAAAAATAAAACAGACCAGTCAGGTACCTATACCATCTATCACCATTTTAAAGCAATTCAAGATTAAGTATTTAGTCCCAGATTGAAACTAGAAAAAACACGAGTTAATTAAACTGAATTTTTTGAAAGTGTAATTATTTAATTTAGGCCACCTTGTTGGTGGGAGTATAAACAGTCTTTCCGGAGAGCTTTAGCCAGTTGCGACTCCACTACCAGGCACCATCTTACAAATAAATCAAGAGATGGCAGGCAAGCTGTTAATTTCACAATAAGAAAAACCAATCAAACTACATGTCCAACATTTGAATAATGGTGCGATCTTCCACTCTATAGATTTTTCAGTCACCATTTAAATCGTGTTTTTAAAGATTAAAAGAAATGGACAGCTCTGGATGTGGGGGGAAAAAAACCAAGATATAAAGCTATATATTTAGGTTTAGGGCAGTGTTTAAAGAAATGTCTAAAAGAAAAACATACCCAATTATTAATTACGAGATTCTCAAAGTGGTGAGATTAAGGTTTTTTTTTTTTTTTTTTACTCTTTAGGGTTATCGTTATTTGTGCGTTCCGTACAATAAACCTGGCACTACTCACATGATCCTTAGAAAAGGGAAAACACCACCGGCCAGCCACCAGACCAAAAATAAAAGAAAAGGGAAAACACCCACACCCCCAGTGGTCGAGGTCCAGGAGGTCCGTCTCCCGCGCGCAGGTGCGTAGCGGACCTGGCCGCCCTCAGCTACCTGTCCCCGCCCAAGGCTCACATCCGGGAGTCGCCGCAGGTGCCCCGGCAAGCCGCAGTCACCTTGACTCCGCTACCGGCCCGGGCTTGGTTAGGGGCACACCGGAACCCCAAGTCCACCCCGACCAGAGGAGGTGGGCGCGCCCCGGCGCGAGGCGCTTGTTCTGTGGTCGCAGGATCCCCGGACGTGGCCACTCTGTTCCCCGCCTGACCCTCCACCCCGGGCCATTTCCCTAGAGAGGAGTTCAAAGCTGCAGAGTAAGGCTGCTCCCTCCGGCCAGCTCGCCTTCCCCCTGCCTCCTCCGCGCCGAGGGCCTGGGCCGCGGCACCGCCTGCGCCTTGCGGTCTCGGGGCGGGAAAGCGCGGCCTCTCGGTCCCCTCCCCCTGGTCCCC